GCCTAACTGCCTTATCCTACCTTATTCTTGGGAAATTTCGAGGGGTAGCACGGGCTACCCCTATCAATTAACTAGTTTCTCCCATGCATATGTTATAAGTTTATAGTCGGAGTGTGAGATCTGATACCTAGAATGTGAGTTGATATATTGATAACTGGTTACTAATATGGTAATCTAGTCTAGTATTGATTCTAAACATATATTATATTATTTAACCATGATCTTGAAAATACATCTACTAACATAAAAGTTTACTCATTGTATTTAATTTTACTTGTATTTTTGCAACAAGTCCATTGTATGTTATTTTATTTGTATTTTTGCAACAAATGTAAGTTGTATCATACAAGATTATTCAATCGGACTTATACTCGTAAAATTAAGAGTCATTGAGATTCATTAACGTCTTTTAAGTTAACAAACACTTGGTATACACAAGGAGATAGTCATAATAGCTTATAATTTTTTTTACTCATATATTCAACGCCATAATCTCCTAATGATTTAATCATTAGTAGAAATAACAAAATCAAGCAAATCATAATACTTAGCTAAATAGTTTTTTAGGTAAGATTTCCTTTCGGTATAAATTATTTTCATATCAAGTGTGCTTAATGTGAAAGTGAATATGAAATAAAAGAAAAACAACTATATTGTAATTAGACATTAGTAGGGCTTTCAGACAACTGCGATGGGGATGGTGGTGTATCTTCTTGACTTTTTTTTTTTTTTTTTTTTTTTTTTTTTTGTTTTTTTTGTTTTTGTAATCAGTTAAAATGTTTTCTAGGTATCTTTACCCCTACGTGATCATTGTTCTTTTACTTGTTTTTTAGCCGTTTTTTTTTCTAGTGCTCCTAGTAGAACCAGGAAGGATGGATAAAAGTCACTTGATGGAAAGATGCTAAAAGAGTGGAGGTGGTGTTTTGATGGACTCGGTCTACCTTCTAATGCATCATAGGGTAATTTTGAATTGTTAGCATTGTATTATATTCATTACAAATTTGTCACATTCATTACAAATTTGTCGCAATATAAGTTAATCTGAATATTTTTCTAAAAAAATTTTGTTTTACCACTAGATAAGCTAATGAAGACTTTTTTTCAGAATATGTTTTTTTTTTCTTTTCAAACTCAAATCCAAACACATCATAATATAAAATATCATCATGTATTTATTGATATATTATTCATAATTTACTAGATAGTAAATGAGAAACCTTACCGAGTTATGACTTTAATGCAACTTTAAAAATCCATATATGAAATATGTATTTTTTGTTAATGCTATATTTTATGGATTAGTTGAAAAACTAATTGTTAACTATAAAGATAATTGATAGCTGAAAAGTAGATACTAATTAATAAAAAATAACATTTAGTAAAACTAACTGAAAATATAGATGAAATATTTAAATGACATAAAATGATATAAAATATTGAATTTTTACAATCAGTAAAAGATTTATTTGGAAAAACGTGTGTAGCTTACTGAAATATTAGTTTGAATACGTTTGTTTGTTTGTTTTTTTTAAAGCTAGCTTTATAAGCTAACATATAAACTATTTTTTAATTTTTTAAACATAACAACCTAAAAAATCTTGAAAAATAAATTAGTTGTGACATTTAAAACATAATCAAAATATGTTTCTTAATAATCATAATACACTTTATACAATGACAATATTTTAAGTCGGTATGTCTTTGTTATATGTAACAAATTGAAGGTAATTAAATTATGCTTTTATTTAATATTTATGTGAATGTACATATTTACAAAATAAATGCTTAATAGTTTATGTTATAAATTCGGTTATCAAATAAAGAATTCGATTACTAATCTGTTGCTCACTAATATCTTTTGTGGCACAAAAAAGTCTTTTAATCACAAACTTATAATTTACTTATTTAAAACAGAACTCAACGATATATTTTCTAACTTAAAAATCGATAAAATACTTTATTAAATATACAATCTATCCGTTTGAATTTTTACAAAAAACTAATACTAATATTTGAAAAATGTTGTTAGGCTATTGGTTGAATTTCCATACTATTTTTAAAAGGGCATTTGTAGTGATTGGATTAAAAGTGATGGTAGGTTTGTTGATTAGACTTTTTTTCAAGTCAAATATGAAATATGTGTCCTTGTACATCTATCTTTTTTGAATTGCTTGTTTTTATGGAACTTGTTCCACCTAAGGAAATATTTCATTACACCAAGTAACATGGAACAATGTTTTTACCATTTTAAACTAATTTAATTTGTTTAATGTTTATGTATAAATATAAAGGATAAAACGGGTTCACAATTGACGGACCTTGTGATTTTATACTCCAATTTTAGTTATACCATTCTTGGAAATAAGGTGGTAGTCAAAGCATTTTAATTGGATTTAATTTAAAAAAAAAGGAAAAGACGTTTATTATTTTGGTTTATCTTTAATTTACGTGATTTAATAAAAATAATTATGTGCTATTGTGACTCGTTAAGTTTCAATAAATCAACCAAGTTCAGAATTATTTTACAGTGTTTAGTGATATAGAACGTGATTAGTAAAACTAGCTAATAGCTAATAGTTGTTAGTTGTAAGTTTGAAACTAATAGCTGAAAGATGTAATTTTTATTTGTTATATGAATTTTGACAAAAATAACTAAAAACTTTTTGAAATGTATAAATTACATAAAATGACAATTGTTTAAAAAAAGATAGATTTATAAATATAGTTTTAAGGATAATTATGAACATTAATTAAAAAAACTCAATATTTTTTCTTAACCGCTATATGAAGTAGCTTTTAGATTTGAGGTTTTTTGTTTAGACTAAAAGTTAAATGCTCGTATTCAAACAAATTTTTTTTTTAAACTGAGCTTCCTGTTAAAAACTGAAAACCTAAAGTTCCAAACGCTCGTTGTCAAACATATCCATGATGTCTTACTCTTACATTAGAAGTTATACGAGAACTCTTACATCAAACACAAAAATCTCATTAACAAGGAATAAATATATAAAAGATTTTATGAGTCTATAATAATTGATCTATTATTTCAAATTTATAGATATCATATTTATTTTGTACGAGGATCAAACAACTTTCCTTTTTGATTCTCTTATTCTTCCCAATTTCATATATTTGAAAATTATTACTATTACACCGACCATACTCTTGTAAATGAGAAGATAACTAGCCTTTTTTTTTTTTTTTTTTGCTTTATTATATAAATGGATCTGAATTAATTCTTCTAATAAACATTGAATTGGGGTTTTTTAGTTGTTGCAAATGAATTTGATAGAAACGGTATACTAAACAATGATGACTATTGAATTATAGATAGCAGTATAGGTGTTCAAAATCTTGATGTTTTGTTATAAGATAAAGTTTCACTTTTATGCTAAAGTTCTTTTGTTGTTTTGAGATATGGGTGTTCCACATCATTGGCCTTCTCTCTTTTGAGATATGGGTTCGGTTTAAACTGGGGGTATTGTCCATGTTTTTTTTTTTTTTTTTTTTTTTTTTTTTTTTTGTTATCTTATGATAAGTGAACAAACTTAGGATATTTTGAGATTTAAAAACACTTTGGACCGCTTTATAGTGGAATTTTACAAGTTTTACCCGTTAAAGATAATTACAACCCAAAAAAGTTAATATCCTTTTATACAATCAAGTCCAAATCCATTCTACATATTATAAGAGAAGAATGTAAGAAATTAGTATTCGAGTGTGAGCTGGTCACTCAAATCCCATGCAAAGCGAGCTGCATAATATGCGCTTCGACGGGTTATTTAAGTTAATTATGTGCGATTTATGAGGTATGGTATGGTCTGGTCAACCATATAGGATTAGCATATAGGATTAGTTATTTATTTGTGTGTTGGTTTTTAATGATTGAAATAAAGCTTATTTGGGTTCCGAGGAAAGAAGTTGTGGGGGAAAGAGACAGTCCACATAAAAACCAAATTACCTAATTATATCCAATTATATATATATATATATATATAATATATTTAAAAAACGTTTATTCAAGTTTTTGGTGAGCCAACATAAAAATGTTCAAATCGCCATCAAATCACACAACCAAGTAAAACTAGTGTTATACCCGTACGGTGGACGGCTTGACCGACAAATAAGTTATCGCTCTTTGTTTATATAATATTACTCTATAAAAAAATATAGTTTGCTATTTTAGGTTAAAAAATATATTTTTATTGGGTAAATTTCTCAACGTACAATGTTTATAATAGAAAAATGAAAGAAACCTTTGAAGCCTAAAATATTTAGAAACACATTATCAAATATTGGTGGAACCAATCTTAATGATGGTTGTGTAAAATACAATACCATTTTCAAAATGTGTTGTTAATCTATAGTAGAAGAATGTGAGGATGATTATGTGTTGCCCTTCGAGTTCATGAAACATTTTAAACCCATAGTAAATACATAAAACAAACTAAAGATCCCAACCATAGTTCATGATATTAGACTCATTTTAGATGCAGATTAAAAAGATTCAATATCATGTTCAAATATTAGACTCATTTATGACCAAAATATTTCATTTTGGATAAAATCTTTTACATTTGAAGGTCAAAATGGAAATATTAGAATACTAAGCTAAAAATGGAATGTGTTGAACGATTTAAAGGTCATTAAAAGCATACTCAGGCCCCGTTTGATAGTTGCTGACTGAGAAAGGTCTGTCTAAGTAAGAAATTCTGACTGGGTAAGAAATCATGCTGTTGAATCTGACTGAATGTGCTGACTGGTGCAAAATAACCATTTTACCCCGATGCTCTACACGTTTCTATGCAATATGATGATAATAATAATAATAACAACAACATTAATAATAACAAAAATTACAATAATAATAATAATAATAATAATAGACATTTATAATAATAATAATTATAATAATAATAATTATAATAATAATAATAGACATTTATAATAATAATAATAATAACTAGAAAGGTGACCCCCGCGTTGCGGGGGTCGGAAGGTGTCGCTTTTGTGTGGAAGTATAGTACATTGTTCTAATTGGTAGCTACAGTAAAGTATGTTGCTATTGTCTACGTTTCGCCCATTTACAAATACACAAATATGTTGTTGTATGCTATAATATAATGACCCTTTTGTGTTGCAAAGTAAATACCAAGTACGGCAGCAACACCCTGTTAAAAAAAAGTAAAGTATTACCTCTCGAATATTAAATAAACCAATGGGTAAGGCTAGGTTATGGCCAATACGAAGACCCTATAAAACAAACATAAGCAGTATAAAAATATGGACAATGTTTCAATACAATTTTTTAAAAATCAGTTGAGTATTAGTAATCGTATACCTAGAAATCAACAATACACACACTTTCGGTAATGTATCAAGTAGTATTGATGCGCAAAAACAAAAAAAAATCATCTTTTGACCAATTTACCAATCAACTTGCATCAGCTCCTTTTACCTCAGTAGAAACGTCATATGTTCTTCCTCCGTCCAGGGAACTCCTGCAATTCCATAAACAACCGTCTTATACTGGTATCACTAATAATAACAATACGAATAATGTAACTGGTACGACTTAAAAGAACAAACTCTAAAATTAATAATTTTGATTGAATTTATGGCTTGTTCTGTTATGCATCCGATTTTTCTGTAAGAATTTTGTACATAATAAAGGAAGTTTAACAACATTAATGAATGAATATAAACTTGAAAGTGTTTATATTAATTCAAATTGATACAGGGAATTCCAATAGAACAATCAAACCAAAAAATAATGGAAACAGATCAAATACCAAATACAAATAGTGTTCAAAATTACTTACCTTGACTGAGCTCAATGCCAGGTTTACCAAAAGAGACTGAGCAAGGCCTTGTTCCTCATATGTCCAACGTTTCAGTAGCATGTGTGCCTAAATTCATTTCATACATATCATCATGTCATCGTATTTATAAAAAATGAAAATCATAAAAATAGATAACGGGATTAATCGAACTGGCATACTTGCATTAATCGAACTGGCATGAAAAAATAGATAAAAAATCACCTGCGGTTGCGAATGTCCAACATACTTGCATTAATCGAACTGGCATGAGTATTTCAAAATAACGGGATCCATCTAAGGATCCAACATATAACACCTTCCAAAAAACATCAGGGGCTTAATTCGAGTGGTTTGAAAGATGAATGTGATTGTCACCGGAGCAAATGAAGTTGGTTTTGGAAGTGGCAATTTGGCTTTGAAGATTCGAAATTGATGTTTTCAAGTGGTCACTCCCTCTTAATCCAACAACACCACCAGTGCCCTGTAATTAGCAAGCACAAATTCAGTAAGCCCTAATATAAAATAGAATTTCAGAAACCCTCACCTTTGACTTTTGGGTATTTGAAGTAAGTTTCCTCTCTTTCCATGGTAAAATACTATGTTTTGAATTTTGACCAATATACCCTTCCAAAACATAAGGATCCAGATCCTCTTTATGAGACATTCCAACATCAGATTTTTTATAACTATAGTAAATACTTTCTCATAAAGATACCCTCCTGTGTAATTTGCAAATGACTTCCTAAAACTAACATTGTTTTCTTTATTCTCATGTGGGATTCTTTTTCCGAAATCAGAAAGGGAATCAGAATCTGAATCAAAAGGGTAGGTGTAATCACCCTCTCATGTTACTCATTCTATTACTACCAAGTAATTAAAATTCTGATTGAAATGTGTCGATGTAAAAAAAGATTCTAAAAAAGGAAATTAACATATCTAGCAACACCAATGTAAAGATTATGATAAAAAAAAGACTTTTTCAAACTTTTTGCCTCAAATTATATTAAAAATAAAAAGTTTTAAGCATTTAGACGGAATTGACACTCCAATGAATAGAATCTCAATTCCAATTCCACATAATCAAACCAAATTAACTAAAAACTGAATATAAACCAAACCAAATAATCTCAATTCCATCAGTTGGTTTTGTATGTTCCATAATGCAATTTTTAGAAATCAAAGACAAATGGCTAACAATTATTTATTTCTCATCAACATACCATGCTAGTGTGCTATTATTAATGTGCACCTCTTTTCTCACAATGGTCGCTTAAGTGGGCAGTTTGCTAAGAGAATATAATATTTCTTTAATGTGTTGGGTATGTATAAGATTTTGATGCCGATATCAATTACAATTGCTTCTATAAAAAAATTGAATGGATTAGTAGTTTTAGTGTAAAAAAATGTCAAAGATTTAGTAAAAATGATACAACTTACCATCAATAGTTTCTGCATCTAAGATTAGATCAAGTGCAAATCAAAATAAGGAACTTGAATGCTTAACCCACAGAGGTTGAAATCACCTTGAATGGTAAAGGACAATGAAAAGCATATCAATTTGGACAAACAGAAACATTTTTTTTTACCCTTTACCTGTAGTAAGCGGAAAAAAATATAGTAAAGGACAATCTGGTTCAAGCATTTCATCAAGCAGCTGGGATACATTGTGAAACTCAACTTCAAAACTCAATATCAACTGGGTAGGGCATAATTAAATTTCATGTGTAATTGGAGACCTGTTCTATTAAACTGTAATGAATTTCACCTTACCTGTAAGGAAATTGAGTGACCTACTATCTATTAATCTAGTCACACGCTTCAATTTTTATTAGCAAGAGCAATCCTGCCAGTATTTGGTTTCCAGGTCTTCAAAGAGACATGAAGGGTAGAATAATGTCGGGAAACTGAACAGGGTAGGCCATCTGATTTCGAATGAATAAAATCGGAAGCGACCAAAAGAAGCAATGAAAATTACCTTGTTGCAAGTAGCTTTGATGGAACCGTCACCGCCAAGAACGAAAACCCACCATGAAGTCTTCAGGCTCAGCACCTAAGATTGTTAGCGGTAGTGAGGCGACGGAATTCCACCAAAAGCGGTGGTAAACAAAGAGGCGAGAAGAGGGAGTCGGGAATGGAAACAGGGAATCCGGCGGCGAAACCAGATCCTTCCCTCTGTGACGGTCGAAAATGAGGAGTGGGATGTGGAACAGTGGGAGACGGCGGTGGAGAGGATGGGAATGATTTTTGAGACGAAGGGGAGGCACAAAGCGGTGGAAAGGCAGGGATTAATGAGAAATGGGTGGAAGGTTCTCAATTGCGGTGGGAAGGATCTGGAAACACAACCATGGTATAGAGGATAGTAACCGCACGGCATGGATTAATGAGAAATGGGTAGAAGGTCGTAAGTAGAAGGGCTGAAATTGACCAAAAAAAAAAAAAAAGGCTGTTTACTGTTAAACTTTAATATAATAATAATAATAACTAGAAAGGATCCCCTGCATTGCAGGGGTTGGAATAATGCAGGGGTTGGAAGGTGTCGATTTTAAGAGAAACTATAGTATATTTTTTGAATTGGTAGCCACAGTAAAGTATGTTGGTATTCTCTGCAATTAGTCCATTTACAAACACTGTAAAAAATGAATTTACATTGTGGTACTTCTTAATTGCATAGTATATTGTTGTAATAGTTTTTATTTGAGAAAATTTTGAAATCTTATCCTTTGATATGAACAACATCCACAATTGGTTTCCATGCCTCCACTTGTTCCTTTGTTCATACATTACACACATGACTTTTATCGAATTTTATAAACACTCATCAATAAATTTTCAACAATTATCGATACCTACAAAAAAATGTAGAAAACGAAAGCAATCATCGTTTAAAATACAGAAAAGGAAAGCAATCATCGCTTTGTTTCGTAAACACACATACATGCATACGTATCATGAAGGGGTTTGAGTTTGACCACTTTGAGTCGTGACACGTAGCTCTTAAATATATTTTCATTTCACAAAAGCATGAGCATAATCAATTTGGAATTTTTGGTCTCTTTTCAATATCAATTTGAATAATAAATGACTCCACAGGGAGGAAAACTTACCGGTTCCGTGATACAACTAAAGGATCAACACCCATTTTAGTGAATAGTAAAGAAGTTGCTGCATATTTCAGTAAGCGTTGCTTGATAAACTAAGCTGCAAAATCAAATCTTTTATCAGCTTTAATTCAAATCATTTTATTATAAATATTAAAACAGGACTTGAATTCTAACCTTTCCCACATGCCATCAAAGTCCTTGCTAGGAAGAATCAATTCACCAATGCTGGACAGTTGACTATAAGTAATAAGTTACAAATATAAACTTTAACAGTAGACATATTCCATAAACATAGACATCGAACACAATATCAAAAGACCTGAAAGACATAGACAACAAACATAATCTATCGCATTATCCATTATCTCCCATCAACAATTTGTTTATTGCAGCCTTTACGGTTTCAACATAATGGGTATATTTTTCAATGTGGTAAAGTTTTTCCACTTCATTCTTTAAAACACACCAAAAGTCCTCTTCATTAGACATGAACCACATAACAACAATTTTAGTTAGCCTCGACTGCTGCAGTTTTCCAAATAATGCCTGCATAAACTCATCATGTCAACACCACAATTCCAAAATAAATAAGGGCAAATTTGTAGAAAGTTAAGAAACTTCATACTATAGGCAAAAATGCTTCCACTACTTACCAAATTACCTGGAAGGGCAACAAAGGCAAAGGATCAAAATTCCAACTAAGATCATCACCTTCACCACATAAATAAATATGTGCATCAGGGCGTGTTTTACCATCTGTCGAATATATAAATTTCAAGACATATTGTCTACATAAATGATATTTAATCTTATCCGGTGAATGTTGAAACTGCTTTCTCCAGTCCTTATAAACTATTCTTTTATTCAACAGAGGGGCAGTATTGTCAATTCCTGCTTACATGCTTTCCCAGCTATAACTGAAACTTTTTCCAACCTGAAACACAAGAAATAGATTAATCACAAACAAAACCCACAAAACAACCCATCGTTCATGTTCATGTTTTCCATGGTTTGCAGGTATCACCAGAACTTTCTCCAGTTCTTATAATCCAACAATTGTCCAAACAGAGTCAAAACAACAACTTTTAAATTATGTTCATGTTTGCCATATTGTGTAGCTCCTCTGTTTATCTATGAAAAAAAGACAATGAAACCATTAGAAAACTTGTTCCAGGAAAATTTTAGACCAAATGTGGCTCACAACAGTCGTGTACAAACTTTAACCGAGATGAAAGTGAAAAACCCAAAATAGTGCATATCGTAAATGAGAAAGAGTTGATATGTATAATGGTTTAATTTTCTTTCATAAGGTACCAGTCCAAAGCAAATTTGAAGGCATATGGTTAAATCAATCCTACATTCATATGGTGGCATGGAGCACAAATCAGCAAAAGCATATATGTATACATGTAAAGAAGAACAAATGAGAACTCTCGCTTCATACAATACATGTGACAGGACCAGACCAATTAAGTGGAATATCATATATTTCCAGCCACAATTAAGCCATAAAGCAATAATGATACTAAGAATCATGATTTCCTAAACTTCTATAATTATTTTTAATAATGAAATGCCATTGGATAATATAGACATTTCTTTTTATTTTGAATCAAAAATACTTTATGACAATATCTATATTATCCAATGGCATTTCATTATTAAAAATAATTATAATTAATGATAATTATAAGAGGCTAACCCATAGCGACCAATACATGTCTATATCTTAAGTTCAAAGCATGGAATTACAGTACCTACACATGGGTAGAAAAACTTACATTGGCAGTGTAGCTTGATCTATTTCCATCCATGGTTTCCAAGTAACGTTGTTGTTGCTACAGAAAAAAAAAATAGGACAATTACATATAACAATTCACACAGCAACAGAAAAAGGTGATAGAACTGTAAATCAAAGTAACTATAAAACACAATAGAAACAGAAATTAAACAGCAAAAACCTGAAGAAGATAGCGACGAAGAGCAAAGAAGCGGAAGAAAGCAAAACATCAAACACCTTGTGAGCATAAATCAAATCCAACTGTATACCGTTTAAAAGATCTTTCTTTAATATCTGTAAGAAAAATTAGACAGACAATAGAAAGAAATCAAAATAGGATAACAATTTTCTTGTTAATCGAAACTGGAGTAATAGACAAAACACACACAAATTCAATACAAACAAATATTAAAAGAGACAGAAATAGAGATGTGTTGATTAGAGCTTACTTTCACTCAAGAGTTGCACTGTGCGTCCTTGTAAGTTGAACGAATCTCACATTAGCCAGCATTTGAGAGTGGACTCCAGAGACCTAGCCATTATCGATTCCATAACTCCTCAGTCGACTTTTTGCCACTCACTTTCCAAAACAACCCTTTCAATCAACAACCGCCTACAATGTGTACCTTCCAGTATTGGTATTTGAACCGGCAAGTCAGCCAACCCAAAATTGCAAGCCAAACAGCAACCCTAAAAACCCTACTATCCACCAGTCGACCATCGTTTCCCCAAAACCCAACGACGACTCAGAGGAAGAGGAAAAATGAAGCAGAGTGCGCGATCGAAGGGATTGGAAGCGATAGCGATCGAAGGGACAGTTGAAAGAGAGGATCGTCAGGTCATTGTTAGGGAGATGTCAACAACTTTTACAAAGAATAGAAGACACTGGTGAGTATCTAACGGGTATAGGGAGAACCAAAGAGGACAGAAGAGAGAAGGTGGAACGTATCTGGGAAGTATGCGGTGGAGAAAGGTCAGAAAAGGAAGTCGGGAACGGAGACGGAGAGACACCAATTGATCCGTATCGGAAGCAGGTTGATGGTTGAGGTAACGATATTGGGTTTAGATAGAAGAAGGAAGAAAATGTGGATGTTTATCAGAGATGGTAAGGCCAAAAAAAAGTGAAGAAGAATCGAGAATCTGGTCAAAGTTTCAAAGCAGTCAAAGGCAGTGGAGTCAAAGCAGTCAAAGGCGGTGGAGCTGGACATATGTTCGAAAATAGAAACACGTGTCAATTCCAATGTAGATAATGATGTAAAAGGACCTGTTGTAAAAAATAACCAAAAAAAGACGACATTTACCATATAGAAATAAAGAGGGACCATTTCTCCAACCTCTTAGGAAGTTCACTGTTCCTAAGAGTGGATAACTTTAATATATTATAATAATAATAACTTCCAACATAATAGATATTAAATATATTATTTTTGAGATAAAATACAAAAAACCTTTCAGCTTGCTGGTAAGCATCATTCCTTCTACAAAGGAGACCCAAGTTCTATTCCTGGAACCTTCAATAACTACGAATTTGTATCCAAGCCAAGGGTACTATTGGAAAACCTTGCTTTCTTTCTCAGTCAGCCATCTCCCAACATCTTTCTCGGTCAGACCTTGCTGTCACCCATAAACAGGGCCTCAGGCATCTAACCTTTATATCCATTCACAATTGAGTTACTCCATATAAGCTTTATAGTTTACACATCCTCCCTAGTAGTCTGGCTTCTTTTGAATTTTCAACCACGACCCTTTCGGGCTCTTCATCAATGAGCCCAGACATTTAATCTTACAATTAGTAAAAGTGCAGGAAAAAAACAAAATGATTCATAATTGCAAATAAAAGAAAGAAGGTAATGAAAGCAGCATATCTTGAATTCAAAATAATAAAAATCGAATGCTTGTTTGAAACCAAATAAAAGAATCAAGGTAATTGGTATTCTTGTTGTTTTGATAATCCAATGTAGAGCATACCTTTTGTTTTTTTTTTTTTTTTCCTTTTGGCTTTTCTGCTTTTGGCCATATTTCATTCACACCAACTCCTTTTAAGTGACTTGTCAATAAAATATTTCTTGATTATCAAAGTCGAGGCACAAGTGCATAAGCTTTGGTAGAGCATTTGACCATATCTAAAAAGTTATCAAATATGTGTGGTATAATATCAAGCATTTTTAATGTTAATTTTGGAATCTTACATTGAATATACACAAAATAAGGATCTTCAGTCTTAATGCCATCGAAAGCATTAATGGTGGATCCAACCAATGCAACATATAAGACTATCATATTCTTTGGATTCCAGAATCGAGGAAAAATATATTAAAAAAATAATTATATTAAAAAAGAATTATAAAAAAGGGTAAATTACACCGATCGTCCCTCGTGCATATGTCAGAAAGCATGTTTAGTCCATATTTTCAAAAATTAACTCGGACCGTCCCTCCTTTTTTTTAAACTTGCACCATTCATCCCTCTAGACATAAAAAGACTAGTTTGCCTTTAATAATTTCTGTTTTAATTTTCTTTTATCTATTAATCATTTTTAGACTTAAAAAAAAAAGAAAAAAAAATATCTCTACCAAACCCTCCCCCTCTTTCCCTTTCCCTTTACCCAGTTTCTTTCGTCTCCTTCATTCTTACCATTACCGACAACCACCCAAAACCTAACTCTTCGGCGAGACCACATAACTTTCTCCTTCTTTCTCCGGTGATGGCAACAGAGAAGTCCTCTTCTTTTTCCCCCACTTTCAAGCTCATATCTCATTCCCTCATCGTCTGTAAATTTGTTGTAAATCAAGGTCGATAAAATGGTGGATGAAGTGGCAAGAGAATATGCTAGCAAGGCTTTGTTTTACAACCCACGTTCTTATTCTCCCTCCAATGGGTCACCAGATATGTCTCCTCCTTCCTAACGCTTCAATCGACGTGTTCATGGTAATCTTTACAAACAAAACTTTGAAATGGATTTGAAGAAGGCTACAAATGAGCTCGTGCTTCGTGTCCAGCTTGATGAAGCGATTTATCTCAAGATCAATAATAAGGTTCTTGGTCTTGGAATCAGATTTGATCGGAAGTGGTCTTAATTTGCTCTATAGGCCAAAGTAAAAGATTGAATTGGTTTCGTTAAAGCTAATAGATTTAATGAGAATTTGGGATTAGGGTTTGCGATTGACGGAAATTTTGGGTTTTTTTGGTGAAGTTATAGAGAGCTAGATCCAGGTGTATGAGAAAGAAGGAGAGAAATGGGGTGAAGATTTTCGACGGTTTTCCATTTTTCGATGGTGTTGCTCCATTTTCTGGTGGTGGTGCAAGGTGGTGGTCCGGTTGCCAGATTTTTACTTTAAGGGGAGTGGGTTCGTGTGTGGCAGATGGAGATTTAGGAAGGGACAAATGGGGTGGGGGTGGGTAGCCATGATATGTTTACCCTTTTTTTAAATAATAATAATAATAATAACATTAAATTAAATGGAAAAAAAATACACAAAGGGCATTATGGTCATTTTAGATCTGGCGGGGACTACATTCATAACAAAAATGCATATTAGGGACGAAGCGTGCAAGTTTTAATCAAACGAAGGATTGTCCGAGTTAATTTTTGAAAATAAGGACTAAACACGTTTTCTGGCATATGCACGAGGGACGAGTGGTGTAATTTACCCTATAAAAAATAAATACACAAGTTGCTACATTTCAAGTCTAGAGTTAAGTAGAACCAGCCATCTTGCATATTCTCTCCTAGAACATAACTCACCTGCCTTGAATTAATTATGTAACTGAATGGCAGGTGATTAATGGTTATTTTTATCAATTAATTAATATAAAGAAATTAATTCTTGACAATAATAATAACAAACAAAATACTTCCTCCATTCCAAAAAGGTAACATTTTTTTATTTTTTATTTTCCCAAGAAAAGCAAGATTTCAATTTTTGGCAAGTTTGGAATACAAATATACTATTATAACCATTTATTTATTGTCCTAAGGATATTTTTTTTGGAAAAACTGTAACTTGTAAGTTAAATACAACAGAATACCTTCAGATTCTTCAACCACAATAAAACCTCTTGCTGAGTAGGATCTGTAAAAACTGAAACTACTACTCTTCCAGGCTTTTCTTTTCCCCTCTTAATATGATCAATTACTGTAATGTAATTAAATGATGAAAAAGATGTATCATTCAGCTACAATAACACCACAAATGCACCAAAAAATTGCGTCAAAATCTTTGATCAATGAAACCATCTAGAAACTATAATGAATGAAACCATCTAGAAACTATAATGTATCTTCTTCTGTTGTTGCATCAACTTCTTCAAAAACTTTTTCCAACAAATTCTTCTACCTTTTGTTTTGGTCAAAAAATAATTGAACTAAAATGGACTAAAGTGTATGAGAGGCTATGATGTTTAATATAGACCAAATGAGTAATGTGAATCAAAGCAACACAAATCGTTTACAAGGAAAACCCTTTATCCTTGTTAAGATCTCCGGCATAAAACCTTGGGAGGTGATAATGATCACCAGCCTTGATGTTTTTATTGATTAAAACGAAAGTTACAGAGAAAATGGAATGAGTATGAGTACAAGTGATAGTATTATGCTAAGTCCCGTGTGTAGTGTAATGAATACTAGTGTTTTATATAGTCAAAACCTAATAACTAGAGCTCCAAAAATTTCGGGATCCTCTGAGATTACTTATAGCCGTTGCTTGACTTGGTCCTCCGGGTCTTTTGCATGGTTAAGACGACTGTACGTTGAGAATGTGACTTTGACTTGGTTATTTCTACACATGTGAGTAAGACAAAAGAACAGATAGTCGTTATAATAAAATAAAAAATATTATTCAAGATCCTGAAGTATATTCGGGATCCTGGGGTTTGAGGATCCTGAGCCTCTGAGGATCCTTAGATGTGAGGATCTCGAAGTAGTTCCGGGATCCTAGCCCTAACAATTGCCCCCCAAGTTATTCCTGAAAATAAGTGAGTTAGTTTCGAGAATATTGAAGGGATAATTTAAATAAAATAAAGAGAAAATGGATAATGGTAATTTTCGAATTTAAGCCTTAACGGCTTGGATAATTCAAATTCCCACGGGTGGATTACTAGCCGTTATCAAGCGGTCAAATCAGTTGTTGTTTTGGTATAAATAAAGATGATTTGTCTCATAATTTCCTTTACTCTTCCTTGCCATCTTTTGATTATCGGTGATTTATTAGAAGGTAATTTTCTCTCTTTCTTCTACGTTTTTACTTCTTCTATCATGGGTAGAAAAATGGCCGTTTCTCGCAAAAACATCTTGGCTCTCCCTGAAGACGACTTCATTGACCAAGGAATTCTTTCCTACGAGGAGACGTGTTCCTTCAGTGATGATGACATTGACTCTTTGAGAATCAGTGGAGCGTTTCCTCCTGAAGCTGTCTTTAGGCCCTTCGCCCCTCTCATCCAACCTGATTTTGTTACTCCTACCTGGGTGTGCTTCCCCGAATACCCTTCTCCTTGGGATTGAAATACCATTTCCACGGGATTGTATCTGAATTCTTTAGGGTGACTGGGATCTCATATATTCAGGCTATACCGATCGTTTGGAGGATCCTTTATTGGATCGACCAAATGAATTAGTCAAAAGACCTTAATATAGGTCTTTCTGAGCTGGCTTGTATGTATGATCTTACGACCTTCGGGAATTCTCGCTTTCTTCTTAAAGTTAAGACCCACAAATCTTCTCTTGTCCTAAAAACCAAACACAACGATGGAGCTTGGAAAGAGAAATACCTTTTTGTGAGACGTGACTATGTTCTTGGTGGGGATCTCCTGCCGGATGTTTGGGTTAAGAAGGGTAGGATTCTATTATATTAATATAAGGATCCCGGAATTCACTTCTTCTTATTTTGTTTGCTTTTTTGCAGCTTTTAAATTCGAAGAGCTTGTTCCTGTCGCTTAGGATTCAAAGGAAAAGATTGAGAAGTTTTTGGCCTTGCCTGAAGCTGAGAGATCCTTTCGATTTGAACAATCCACTTTGCAAAAGAGCTCTTCTGCCACTGAACTCATGTCAACAGGTAAGGATTCCTGATTGTTTTTGCTTATGTTGAAGGATCCTAATATTTTTCCGTTATGTGTAGGATCCAAGATCACCCGTTCCAGTGCTCGCTTCACACTTGCTGACCTTGACACACCCATTTTTAGGGATCAACTAACAGTGAAAAAGGAAAAGAGCTTGTCTTCTCTTCCTTCCAAAAGATCGACCATTGACTTTACAGTGAAAACTCTGGGATTCCGGAAAAGGAAATCTATTGAGTCTGCAGGTCTATCCTTGGAGAGCCTTGGGGTTGAGGATGCGCTCCAGAAGTTGGTCTCTTTCACCCAAGCTGTAAGTGTTGCTTTTATTCTCGACCCGTATTCTACTTTTTGCTGATCCACTATGTCTTTGTTTCAGGTCTCTGATCACGTTTCCGTTGATATAAGGGTCCGATCAGAGAGGGTCGGACATGCCCTTCAGGGACATGAGAGGATGTGTAAGACGACCAACGAAGATCTAATGAGGAGAGTGGAACTGCTCAGCAAGGAAAAGGCTGAAAAGGAGGAGGAGCACCTTCTCGAGATGGAGGAGGTGATCTCCGCTGTGAAGGTCAGTGCTGCAGTGGTTGTTTGGGAGGCCAAGATCCGTCTTGCAGAGGATCTGGAGAATGCAGGTTCTTGGGACGTGGACGGTTGGCGCGAGGCACTGGCCAAGTTGACTGGAAAGCCTGCTACCGCCAATCAGGATTCTATACTGCAGTTGATCGAGGGAGGAAAGAAGAAAGATGCAACCGATGATGACCAGGCTAAGGTCTAGCTAGTTGATCGAGGGAGGAAAGAAGAAAGATGCAACCTACGTAGATTAGTTTAAATCAATGTTGCAAAAATCGATCTAGGCGGCCGATTAATCGTCGCCTAAACGCTTGGCGGTCTCCAACTACCTACGAATAGGTGTTAGAGGGTTAGCTAATCGCTTTTGGTCAATATCGGTCAAAGCCAGTCCAATTCGGTCCTAATCGGACTAAATCAGACTCCAAATAAGACCAATGCGGCTCAACTAAGTCTAAAAGACCCACCAGCTCAAAAGAGCCAGCTAGCCCAAAGCTTTGTTGGGAATGGATTCTCAAAGGGGCTATGTTGGGTTTGATTCTTAAAGGGGCTGGCTCCCCTTTTTATAGAATAAGTTATGCCTTCATCTATTATCCCCAAAGCGATGTGGGATGAACTTTTAATTGTTTCCTATCTATTCTTTGAGTCTCTTTCTTCCCCATCATCTTGTTCTTCCCCACCTGTCTCTCTCGATCGAACAACCCCTGCTCAACTGCTGAACACCGCCGAGCCACCTTCAATTCTTTCATCACTTCCTTTCAATGATTTGAGTGGTGAAATCCCTTCTGGAATTTGGGATATGGAGAAATTAAAATTGATTGATCTTGAAGGTAATTCGATCGTTTCTTGTCAACAAACATCAATATACCGGTAATGGTTATATATATTTACTTCAATCAAAATTATCTTATGGAATCAACAATTTAGATTCACTTAATTTCAATTTGATCGATGCAGGTGGTTCTACGTGATAAAGATATTGAAGAAAATTTGAAGTTATTGGTCTTCTATTGCGTTTTGATCGCTTGCAAAATACATTGTTCAGTCTTCGGTTGCGTTTCACTGCGTTTGTGGATCTCCCTCCGATTCACAAATTGTTTTCGAACAAACAAAGAACTAGAACTTGTATCAATGGAACGCAATCATCAATGGATACACTAGAAACGATCTCTGTTATGAAGCAATTCTTGTCTTTTCCTAGTTTTTTGTAACAGGTCATATACCTGATAATTTCACCTTGCCTTGCGTGATCAAAGCTTGCGTCGGAGCTCTGAATTTGATATGTGGGCAGGTGGTTAACGGGATGGGCGTGAAGACAGATTTGATCTCAAATGTTTTTGTGGGTAATGCGTTGGTTGCAATGTATGAGAAATTTGAACTTATTGAAGATGCAGTTAAGGTGTTCGACTTTATGCCTAAAAGAAACTTGATCAACCTTCTTAAACTTGCACATTTTGCTGTTATAGTCTCCAGGCAATATTCAATTAAAGAAGTTGACATAAGCTATCTGGAAGGAGTGATTGAAAAGCTCTGAGCTACAAAAGAGATGTGTATAGATGGAAGGTGTTTGAGTAAATGCTTAAGAGAATCAAGCTTGTAATTAGCATGCTAAGTGTTTGAGTAAATGCTTAAGAGAAGAAAATTACAAATTGAAAAGAAAAATAAATTATGTATTAAATATTTATTATATTATTTTTTAACTTGTTTACTTATATTCTTAACATTAATGTTATATTTATTAATTTTTAATAATTTTTAATAATTAATGGTCCCCGATTAATCCCCGCCTAGGCGATTAATCCCTTGACCACAGTCCACCGCCGAGCTACCGTCGAACGATTTCTACAACCTTGGTTTAAATAGTTTTTTTTGTGTATTTGGGATGTAGAAAATGAATATTTTGGTGGGTTGGTGCACAACCCATCAAGGTTCAGGGGCTGCTTTTATGTCATGTTTTCTTGCTTTTGAACACCACAGCCTCATGGTGGGCGCCAAATTGTTTTGGTCAAAAAAATAATTGAACTAAAATGGACCAAAGTGTATGAGAGGTTGTGATGTTCAATATAGAGCAAATGAGTAATGTGAATCAAAACAACACAAATCGTTTACAAGGAAAGCCCTTGATCATTGTTAGAATCTCCGACATAAAATCTTGGGAGGTGATAATGATCACATGCCTTGATATTTTTATTGATTAAAATGAAATTTACAGATAAAATGGAATGAGTGTGAGTACAAGTGATAGTATTCTGCTAAGTCCCGTGTGTAGTGTGATGAACACAAGTGTTTTATATAGTCAAAACCTAGTAACTAGAACTCCGAAAATTCTGGGATCCTCTGAGATTACTTATAGCCGTTGCTTGACTTGGTCCTCCGGGTCTTTTGCATGGTTGTGACAACTGTACGTTGAGAATGTGACTTTGACTTGGTTATTTCCACATATGTGAGTAATACAAAAGAACATATAGTCGTTATAATAAAATAAAAATTATTAGTCAGGACCCTGAAGTATATTCGGGATTCTAGGGTTTGAGGATCCTAAGCCTTTGAGGATCCTTAGATGTGAGGATCTCGAAGTAGTTCTGGGATCCTAGCCCTAACACCTTTGATGTATCATCTGAACCCAATGATTTATTATCAACAGAAACATGAAATGGGTTGATGAATCGCAAAAGATAACTTGAAAAGACATCGTTCCCAAAATATTGCATCATGAAGTTCTCTACGATACCACAAAAAGCATCATTTAGCTTTATTTGCATAAACATGAATGTTGTAAATAAATATACATTTTACTAACTTTATGATGTCATCTTCACTATTACAATTGCCTAAACTACAATTGAAAATACAAGAATCTGGTCTCACGTTTGACGCATCGATTTGTTTAAGAAACTCAATTTTATGAAAGTTTTTCTATGTCAAAAAACTTAAATAAAAGAATAAGTCGACAAATTAGACATTGTTAATCTTAATTTGATCCTTATATTTGTGTATGTGAGTGTTATGTGTGTGTCGGTGTGTAGAGAGATTGAAAGAGGCATACACCTGAGAAATATATAGCATATGAAGGTGCAGATGGGATCTGTTTAATGAAATTAGCAGATTGATAATTAGAATAATCTGACCTCGACATGATTTCTAAACATTCGCCTGATGGCTTGCCTTGAGAATCCAAAACAACTCGCTTAATCGAGAGTTGTATCCATTTAGGTAATTGAGACTATGAAATCAATGTTAAAGAAGAATAAAAACACTATGTAATTAATATAAATAAATTTAGTTGGGTCAACAATCATCTACCATAATAAACGAAATTCCATAAAAACAAAAACCCAATTCGTAATCATAGAAAATATGGTAATTTTTCAATTTTCATTTAAAATTAGAACATACCTACAAATATTGTGTTGTGTTCAATTAGGGTTGTGTTGTTGAGTATGATAGGATGACGATAAAATTGTCAGACTGAGAGGTTGAATTAGATGAAGTGATAGAATATGGATACATCTGAGTGTAGATTGACTTTTACCTTAGCATCTTCAAATTTCTTCTTGAAAATTATAGAGTGCACAATTAAGTACATATGAAATCGATTATACAAACATAAAGGAACATTAAAGTCGATTATACAATGAAATTAAAGATGCAATAAAGTACAAATCGAAGTCAAATGGTAAAAACCTACGAATGTAAAACTTAAATTAACTAATTGTAAAGATTTTTACCTTAGTTGAAGACTATTCAGACGAAATTGTATATCGACAATTGTTCAAAGGATGGAACAAAAGGAATCAATTGAAGAAACTCATTGAAACATTGAAAATTTAAGCAAAAGTCGATCAATTTACCTTAGGTGAACTATATTCAGTCGAACTTGAATCCATAATTGTTGACATCAAATAAAGGATGAATTAGGAGGTGTATCGTACCTTTTTTTCATCTCTGATTGTGACTGTTTATCTTCCCATTTAACTCCTTTCAAGTTCCACTATAAGCAATGACAACCCACAGAACATTAGATTCTTCGATTAAAACAAAATTGACGCCAAATCGTTATCCCAAATCAGAGAAGATAAGGATAATATTTACAGTTTCTGTGAGATGTTTGAGATCCAAAATCAATCAAGATGTTCGACTAGGTCAACTCGAAACCTTCTCCTATCTTGATACGAACCCCGCCTAAAATACCCAAGCCCTAATCACACAAAATTGATGATTTTATTGTATAAATCTTGACTCGATTTCAGATGGGTGGTGAAGAGGTTGTTGTGACTCAATATTTATTTGTAGATATGAGGAGGAAGAAAGTGTGAAGAAAATGGGAATGGTAGGTTAAAGATAAAAGAGTCGATCGTCGGGGAGTTGAAAGGGCGGATACAGAGGGAGCGTGGGGGTTGGGAGCTTCTGGAGGTGATCGTGCAAGGAAGGCAGAGCAGACGTAGGTGGATAAGAAACCGCCGCAGTTGGTTGTGGGAAAACCGTAAATACAAATTTATTACGGTGGAGATTGAAAGATGCGGAAGTTTTAACTGCTGAGATTGATCCGGCGATTTTTCAGTTACCGTCAACAATAATATAAAGAATTGTGGTTTCAACCGACCACTAAAATGCATTTGAATAATTTGATTAAGGTTCAGTTATAGTTCCACATTTTAAATTGAATAATACGTACCTCTAAATAAGAATATACTTTTATTAATTTGTTTATTGTAGGGACTTGCTTTCATTTTATACTACAACATTGTATTAAAATTATCCGAATAGGGATACTTCGGTGATATGATAAGTAGATATTATTTTTAAATATGTCATACGTAGATATTATTTTTAAATATGTCATACTAAGAAGTAATATTAAAAATGTTAACAATAAGAAAATATAAAAAAAACACCATAAGAGTTTGTGAAGTATCACATTATTATAAGTAATAAATAAAGATAAATAATGACCTTATATTTATGTATAATGCATAAAACATAGATTACACTCTAAATTTGTTTTAGCACACCCCAACAGTTTAAGATATAGGGTACTCAATGATTAAATTAGACCTAACCCAAACATGGTTGTGAAGGTAAGCCCTTCTCAAAGATGTCTGCAAAACTGGTGTGCAAGATGGAACATTTATCATACAAATAAGACAATGAAGTTTAAGAAGAGGGTTATGAAGCCAATCAACCTTAATAGTGGTGTTATCCACTATTGGTACTACTCAAATTTAAAATTAGATTAAGGGATAACATGTTGTCATTTAGACGAAAAATAGATAAGATTATGATATCAAAAGACTCAATAACCCGAAGTAGACTGAAGAGTCTCAAGATATCCTATCCATCTTGTATTGGTGTAAGAGACCAACTGTTCCATTAAAGACAAACAAAGCTGAATGTTATGTGAGATAGGTCCTTAAAGATAGCAAAGGATTCATTTTGACGCATGCATATGTGGTTCCTTTGGATCATGCATATAAATGCATACTTGTTAGAAGACATAGGCCATTTAAGGTAAATAAAATATGAGGTACTAGAGATCCCCAATAAGGCTAGAATAAAGAGTTAAATTCAAAATAGGGTTGTTGTCACATGATAAATGTTGACTTAGTGTCAACATGAGTTCAATAAGGATTGTCAACATGAGTTTTATAAGGATTACATGTTAGCATATTTTCATATTAGAGAATGTCACATGAAAAGGCAGATTGAGAAATAAAGATTCCATAATATGATCGAGATGCAACAATACCTACGAAAAAAAAAATAATGAACCAAGATCACTCATGTTAAACTTGGTGGATAATCGTGAGACGACAAATCAAATGAGATTTGTAGGGACGGACGTTAGGATAATATTGTAGGAAAATAAACAAGAAAATAGAAAATATTGAGGTATGTGTTTGTTTTGCCCACTATTAAGTGTTTGTTTCCTAAGATACAACAGCTTGAAGTGGTTCTTTAAGACCACCCGTACCTATATTAGACTTGAATTTTACCTTAAAGTAGCAAGAAAACGCAAGAAATGAATAAAATATGAGAGGTTTGTTCAACGAGGTTGTGTTTTTCTTCGTAGTAACTTATTAATCCATAGATTTTATGCCTATTCCTCATAAAGACCTCTCACTTTAAGCATTTCATTATCAGACTCACAATTTTATTTTGACCTTCTGTAGTCATTAAAGATTATTTATCCGAGAGTCATTGTTGAATGGTGTTTTGTCTTTTACAAATACCTCTAGACTCACCATTATTTACATCCCCATATACAAATATAAGAAATAATAGCTCACATTGGGACGTCTCTCAAGAACTTAAAGAGCTACTTAACTCGTTGTCAAAATAATTACAAATTTATTGTCCTATATTTTTCAAAAAATGTTGACTATTATCAATATGGTTACAACTATACCAAAATCACCATTATTGAATATCTCTATAATTGTGTCGAAATAATACAATTAGCACATATACATACATGTATTGGTGAATTCATAATAACATTGACCAGATGTAATTATGAATCTACCTTACTTTTTC